TGGTGGGATGGTGCTCGTGGAGAGAGAGGGGACAGCACCCATGGCTTGGGAACTAGACCCCAGAACTGGGCAATACAACCCTATGACGAGGAATTATTTTCAGATGTGGAGAAACCTAGGCCAATTGTGCAGCTTGTGCCTGGAAAACAGGGCAGGAGGGCCATTTGGCTTCAAGCTCAGACACCTGTGACCTTTCATTTAGACTTTTGACATCTGACTGGCTTTATCACTTGAAACTAGTTAAAGTCTGTGTGCCTCAGTTTCCTCATCTGGTCAAAAGGGAATTATAATAGGACCTACCTCGAGGGCTATTGTGGCATTAATTTAGTTATCATGGAAAACTTAGACCAGCAGCTGGCACTGTTCATTTATATAGTTATAGTCACAGAAATACAGTGACGGGACTGAAAGATGCCAAGTGTTTCACACATGTTCCAACTTGTTACTCATTACTGGACAGCTCAACCTATAGTGCATTGAGAGTTAATAGTTATAAAATAATTTCCTTAACTACATAACATAATTATATTGCCTTGAATGTTTTAGGGTATAAGCAAGTTATTCTACTAAATATAAACATTTAAAATAAACTACAACTTTGTTAGCCCGTTTTTGGCTTTTCTCTGTATTTTGGTATAACAAAAATATGGCAGCAACCCTGGCAGTGGTGCTGGTAAACGTCCGATGCCCAGTTCCCCAAAAGAAAAGCAAAGCATTTGCCAATTTCCATGGCAGAAGTATTTCCATCAGGACTCATTTTAAACTATTAACTTGATGGCATTGAACATGGAGTTGGGAAGATGTGTATACAACCGGCTCTTGTGAGCAGGTGTGAGCCAGTACCGGCTGGCTTTAGCACATGAAGGCCACTGTACCACCTCACATGGGCTGCAGGAAAGAGCCCACATGTTGAGGGCAGTGAGACCCAGATCTGAATTCTGATTATGGCTCTTTCCAGATGCTTGGCCTTAGGACAGTTACTTAATTTCTTCGAGCCTCGGTTTTCTCGTTTGTGGGAATTAATCTGTGTGAGGATTACATAACCAGAGGTGAAGCTCCCAACACTCAGAAAATGCTCATTTTCTTCCAATGGACTGAGAATTCTCCAAGGTAGGGACAGCGTGCTATCCATCTTTTTATCCCCATTGCCTGAGCTGTGTGACCTGGGGCAAGTTAACTCTCTGTGATTGGTTTATTCTACCATGAAACAAGGGAACAGGGCTAGATGGTTGCATTTCCCTCCCCGCCATACTGGCCTGCCCTCTGGCAAGTGCAGGGCTGGGAAGGGAGCTGGGGGTGGGGGACATGGGAGCAAAACTGCTAAGGCCTGGAATGAAAGACTGGCAAAGGTCTGCCCGCCGAATCGTGCTCCTTGCTGGGGTGGTGTCGATTAATTGACAGGGAAAGGAAGAAATTAATCTCTAAAAAGTTTTAAACATGAACTTGTCGGCATGATAGATGGCTCTTCCTGTCTGGGAAATTAGATCCAATTAAGGCCACCTTTGTGGATCAGGCCTGGCTAATTTGACCGAGGAGCTCAGTGGAAAACGCTTACACCTTTGGAGCTGAAGGAGCCGTGTTAAGGCAGCAAGAAAATGTCCGTGTCATTATTCAAGGCCCCCGGGTGGAGATGGGGTCCCTGACTGGGGAGGCAGGGCAGGATGCTGAAAGGTCAGTGTGCTCCGCACTGTATCTGGGTGGTGGCCTTCTATAATGCAGCTTTTAGAGTCTGGCCTCTGAATTCAGATGGTCAGGCTCTGCGAGTCCTGTCAAGTCACTGAACGTCTCCTGTGCCTCAGTTTCTTCATCTGGAAAATGGGGATAATGCTAGTACCTGCCTCATGACTGGTAAAGGAGGTGAAATGAGACGACGTTGGTCGGAGCACTTAGAAGACTGCTGAGCACGTGGTTAATGCAAATTAACGATTTTACTCTGAGCCCCCTGGAAATGTGGGCTCACTGAAGGCGGATGCTCCCGAGGGCAGGGAGGAAGGTCTCCGATTTGTCAGAGGTGGGGAGAGAGGCTCAGGATGGCTCTGGATGTGTTCAGTCTTTGTACACATCAGCACCAGCTGTCTGTTCCCTAGGCTTCTAGGAAAAGGGGATGAAAGAGGCTGAAGGCAGATCGACCACAGAGGCATGGATGACTGTCAGACTTAGTGCCCCGCTGGCTCCTGTCCACCTGTAGCAGGGATGGCCAGTGTCCAACAAAGATTTGCAGGTGGGGAAACCGAGGCATACACTGTGTTAGGAAGAGGAGCCATGACTCAAGAACGAAGTTGGCAGCTGAGGGAGGGGGACACTTAGGCTTGAAGAAGGGTGTCCCTGAAAAGTGGTAGCCAGATGTTTGTAAAACAGAACACATTTTAAACATAACAGGGCTCTTCACCATTGAAAGGCATTCTGTAGTGGATAAATTCGTGTTGTGTTCTTTTTTTTTTTTTGGTAAAATCAGTAATCTCACTCAAATTAATCTTTTAGGGATAAAACCAAATGCTCGAAGCTGGCTTGCTCAAAGCCGGGGCTTCCCGTGAGAAGTCCTGGCCTAGAGGCAGGTCTTGGGCATGGAGAGTCAGCATGAGGTGCAGAAGACAACGGCTGTCGGGGCTCACCTGAGCGGGCGTTGATCCGAAACTGGGAGGAGCCTTCCAAGGAGTAGATGATGGACTCCTGGCCGTACTCTCGGGAGCGGTCCAGGTCTGTGGCATTCAGGAACAGCACTGTGGCTCCTTCAGGGAGATAAGGGGGGTGGAGGGAGTGCTGCTCACCCTGGGCTCCCAGCCACTGGCCCTGGAAGCAGGACTGGCACAGGCCAGAGGAGGATGAGGGGTCTCCTGGTGACCAGCCCTCAGGAGACAGGGCACCTGGCATAGGGGGAACCCGGGGAAGGGAGTGTGCTTAAACACCTGCTCCCGTGGCCCAGATCCCTGGGTTGTGTGGGCACAAGTCTCCATGGGAGGGAGGGCCTGGAGCTTGGGATGGATGGGGCCTTCCTCCCCCTCCCCCTCCCGGCCCAACCTTAGAGAGCACTTCACTGCCTCCCCTGACCCTGCCCTGGCTCGCCACTGTATTAAATACAAGCAGACTACCAGCTTAGACTCTGAGTCAAGAAGAAATGAAGCTCCATATTAAATTATTCAACATTTATTATATTTAATTTCAGTCTTGTTTTATCTTGGTCACAGAATTTAGAAAGGTTTTTATTTTCTCTTTAATGTCCAGTTAAGGCCCTCACCTTCGTTTTCATCTCTGTGGACTCTTGGGCCAGGGGATTGGCCTTTCAAGCTGCCCTGGCTGGGCCCCGAGAGCAGCTTGTCCTGTAGCTGTGCCAGCCAGGGCTTTCTGCACCCTACCGCCACCCAACTGCCAGCTCTGGCAAGTGGTGAGTGTGTGATTCACTGTGTGCACCTCTAGAGTCACTACGCCCAGGTGATAATCTGGTGGGATCTCTGGCAGGTGCCTTAACTTGTCTGAGCCTCAGCTTCTCCCTCTACGTGATGGGTCTAGCTATACAGCCCATTTGTGGGGCTGTTACTGAACTGTGGACTGTGGTTACTACTGTGCTGATGAATCGATAGTCGTTGGAAACACAAGGGGGCTATGGACAGGCAGGTCATTCTGACCCCTTCCAGGTAGCTGCGGGGCCTCTGATCTGACTCGGTCCTGCCCTAAGCAAGACTGATACATGGGCCCTGACACAATCCTTTATCTAAGCACACTCAACTTGGAAGAGGATTAAGTGCCAAAATGAAGGCCTCTCCGTGGCAGAGTCTCCGGGGATGGTGGAATTGCAGGGGCCACTTCGGCAGTGACATTTTACAGAGAATGCCTGAGACTGATATAGGGAAGGGTGGGCTGGGCACAGCCTGGTCCCACCCAGCAAGTCATCAGATACTAGGGAGGTACCAGAGGAAGACTCTGTGGTACCAGGCAAGGTCACCCCTGACTCCAGCTGTCCCTGGTTCCTCTAGTTGTTCCTTGACTTCAGCTGTCCCCGACTCCTCCAACTGTTGCAGCAATTCCTGACATTTTCCCCACATACTGTCCCCTCGGAGTGTAAGGATGAAACTGCCAGCCTGTCCTGAGGACAGAACAGGTCCCCTGGATCCTGAGTGTGGACTTTATGGCCCTGGGTCTGCAGACCGAGGCTTGGCACCTGAGATGTGGCCCAGGGACGAGCCTCCCATTCTTGTCCTCCCATGGGAACACACGCCATCCTCCAAGGCCAGACCTTCAGCCATTATGGCCCCTGGGACCTGCCTCGCAGCACCGTGATCTCAGAACTCTCTGCCTACTCCCATTTAACCAAGGTTGTTGAATTAATCACCAGTCATTTTTCTCTTCCCTGCTAGACTGTAGCTGCAGGAGAGCAGGGACCAAGTGCCTAGCAGAGAGTCTGCACGTAGCAGGTGCTCTAGGTATCTGCCTGGCAGATACCTGGACATCTCCAAAGGTTCCCCTCTGTTGTCATGGAAACAGACAGGGAGGACCATGGACCTCCCCAATTTGTGTACAAGGTGAGGTCTATCCATTGTCGGTGCCTTGCCTGCTGGTTTCCTGCCTTCGCGCCCTCCCCTGCCTGGGCCCGTACCTGCCATGATATTCTCCACCACGGAGACGAAGTAGGCAGGCTTGCTGAAGGTGGGAGGATTGTCGTTCTCATCCTGGAAGAAAAACAGACAGGTTTCAGGAGCCAGGGAGGCAGTGGGGGCTGGTCAGCTATCCTGGGCTGGTACCAAGGGGAGGCTGGGCACAGCTGGCACTGACATGCTCTGGCTGGGCTACAGATCAGGGAGGCAGGACAGGCCTTGGGGAAATATGTGGGGGGTCAGGAAGGGATGGTGAGGACTGGAGAGATAGAGAAAGGTAGCAGCAGCTGGAGCTGCCTATGACACCAGCTCCCCTGGTTCTCCCCTTCGGTCTTTCAGCTGAGCTCCGAGCTTCCTCCAGTTCTCCCACTTTCGGCTCATCAGCCCCCATACTGGGATGCCTACCAGGAACTTCTCTCCCAGCTCTGCCAAGGTGACGGCGGAAGGTTCTAGGAACCTTCCTAGAAATGAAGGGAGAAAGGAGCAGCTAACCCAGATAATACTGAAGTACATAGGGGACAGATGGCTCCTCCACCACCCTGGCAAGTCCTGGCTCAGAACCCACCACCTTCAGCTTTCCGGAAGCAATCGCTCCTCTGGCCCAGCCTCCACCACTGACCAGGTGAGAGGGCTGGTGCTGGGCCGAGAGGCCCAACTGGCAGGTTGGGGCCCGGTGAAGCCTCTGCCTCGTCCTGCTCCTCCACACGCTATCTCCGTCCACTATCAGAGGAGACTTTCCTACCCTTTAAGACTATCATCCTCACGGACTGCTTTTTGCAATCACTTGAGGATTCCTCCCTGGTCCCCTCTTGGAGGAAATCTGGCGGGCCCACCTGACCCAGCCTTCTCTCCTTTCCTGAGGAGCCCAGCATGGATGCAAACTCCAAGAGCCTCATTTCTCCTGAAACTGCGAGCTCCTAAGGGAAAGACTCTTGAATAAGCGCCTTTTGCTGGAGTCACTCATGCTGAGCAAACGTGACAGTGAGGGAGGCATAATAGCCGGAGACTTCAGAGAATCCCATCCTTCTGGGGCTGTGGGTGCCCAGAAAGGAACACTCGTCTTCCCCAATCTGGCCCTTGGCTCTGGACTGCACACTGGCTCAATCTGGTTTGTCTCTCTCCCTGGTCTCAGGGAACTGGCTGTGAGAGGACTCGCCAGACATCCGACATCCCAAGAGCATGCCTGGGCATCCCCCTGGTGCGGGCATGAGCGCCCCGAACGCGTGTCTATTTAAGCCTTCTGCTTGGCTGCATGAAACAAGCGTGGAGAATGTCAGTGAGAGAGCATGAGGCAGAAACTTATTAGCGGTGATATTTCCCTGGATCCTGGCGCTGCATTCACTATTAGTTCTAATTCAGCGGCTCCCTCTACAAAAGCTTATTGTCCCCTAATGGGAAATCTACAAACCGAGTTTGACTTCTTTATTAAAAACCAACAAGCAGTGGATGAAAAGGAATCACCTGGCCCCTCTCGCCTGCCTCTCCTCCTTCAGGAGCCCTGTCATTTTGATCTGCCTCTGCCCACCCCCTCCCTGTGCAGTAAGTGCTGCCATCAACTACTTCATCTCTGCTGGGCATTTTTTTTTTTTTTCCCCAGTTCAGAGAAAATCCCTTTGATGGAGGGAGGAGGCAGCTTAGACAAGTGACAGCTACTTAAAAATCACCCACATGCAAAATCAACTCAAAGGCAGTGACCTTTTCAAGTGTAGTCCGTAGACACAGTGGCTACGCCATCCAAAAGCCCTGCTTGAAAGACGATGTTCACTCATAGCCAAGGTGGCATCTGTTTCTGTGACTGGACCCTCCTGCTGCCAGGGGCCAGGACAGACCGGAAGGAGTGTGGGGGCCCCTCTTGACTGGCATGACAGCTTCGAGGGAACATAGTCAATAATATTATAATAACAACATATAGTGTCAGATGGGTGCTAGACTTATCAGGGTGATCACTTTGTAAGTTATATAAATGTCTAATCACTGTGTTGTACACCCGAAACTTATATAATGTCAATTAATTGAAAAATAAGTTAAAAAAGGAACACCAGGATGTGGTCATAATTGTCAGGGAACACATTCTAGTTGTCTGGTGTCGCCCTTGGCATTTCAAGGTGGGATGCTGCAGGTTAAAGGCAGGCAAGTGGTTAGGCTTCTGTGGCTCTCCTCTCCTGTCCTCCCCTGCCACTCCCTGAAGCCTGACACGCCAGATATAAGGTGTCTGCCCTTCCCTCTCCTGCATCTTGTTCCATATAGCCTCACCCTCCCACACCACCCCACCCTTGGCATTTCACGGTGGGATGTCGCAGGTTAAAGGCAGGCAAGTGTTTAGGCTTCTGTGGCTCTCCTCTCCTGTGTCCTCCCCTGCCACTCCCTGAAGCCTGACACGCCAGATATAAGGTGTCTGCCCTTCCCTCTCCCGCACCTTGTTCCATAAAGCCTCACCCTCCCACACCACCCCTAAACCCTGCTCCCACGTGCCCACCTGCAGAGCTCCCCCCAGAACATCACCCCTGACTTTTCCATCACTGAAGCCCCATCCTATTCGAATTGCAAGCAAATTAGGTCCCCCAGCCAGACCAGGACATTCCCACCTGGGAGCTAGCCCTGGAGCCTCTAATGTTGGGTTGTAAGGACGAGGCTTGTCAAAGCCAGGTGTGGGGCAGTGCCAGAGGTTGTTGGCAAAACCAGCTAGAACTGGAAGATCATCCGGCAAGCCCGCTCTGGGCAAGATGTTTTCCCGAGCATATGTCAAATCACAGCGTATCTCCTAACCTGACAATCTGATCTAATCCTCCTGGAATCGGTAAAGTGCTAATTCTTTCATCAGCATGCGTTCACCCTCGCCTGCAGGCAGCAGCCTTTATGAGATGGGGGGCAGGTGTGCTTGTGCATGCACAGTGTTGGGGGTCTCTGGGGAGAAAGGCCCGCTGGCCCACTGTCAGAACACCATCTCATCCCCAGGATCGCTAGGGGAGCTGCACGGGGCCAGCGAACCAATGTGGAGACGGGTTTAACGACTGATGGTTTCAGACGTGGAATGCACTAAGGTGTGCGTGGCAGTCATGTAAGACAAGCTGTGGTTTGGTTTCAGGTCCCTTTAGATCTTCAGAGGAGCAGAAAAAGGAAGTGAAAATGAAAAAGGAGGGGTAGAAAGAAAGAAAGAGAGAGAGAGAGAGAGAGAGAGAGGAGAGAGATGACCTTCCAGGAATTCCCTTGAACGCCACGGAACGTAGCTGTACATGAAAGAATCCAGTGACATCTCCTCTAGCTCCTGCTCCCCGAGAGGTTGTCCTGAGGCCCCCAAATGAAGTTAGAACCAGAACTTCAAAAGTTGGGTTCTTCTTGCATTCCTGGACCTCCCCTGGCCAAGCTGGCAGAGGTTTTCTAGGACAGCCTTTGGGCCAGTCTGCCAGGTAAACCCCCTGAGCGGTGGAAGGGCAAGGCCAGTGCCCCTGGGTACTTACAAACACTTCGATGGTGACGGGGACAGTGCTGTTCAGAGGTGGGTTGCCAGCGTCCTTGGCCATGACCGTCAGATAAATCAGCCCATTAGGTATCTGTTCATAATCCAGCGGGTGGCTCACGCTGATCACTGAAATGACAGGAACATGGCCCCAGATCCCGTCAGCAGACTTTGATGCTCATCCAGTCAGGGCTCCCCTTTGGGAAGAGAATGTATGGCTGGCATGGGCCTCGTGGTCTTGATTTAGGTTTACTGACGGCCTGATACATGCCAGGCCCAGTGCTGGGTCCACCGGGTGGTAACTATTCCGGTGGTAATGTAAGCCCCACATTATAGACGAGGAAACCAAGCTCGGGGAGGGTCAGCGACTTGCCCAAAGACATACAGCTAGCAACTTGATAGAGTGGGATTTGAGCCCAGCTTTCTCTAGTAGGTGCTACTCCTACCTGTCTGTCTGTCGGACCCACTCGTCTGACCCTCCTAATCAGTCTGGAAGACACTTGGAGAACAGGGTCATGCCCCAGGCTCTCTAATCCTGTCCCTGTTATCACTCCTGATACTCTCCAGAAAAACACAGAATTCACCCATTTGTTGCCCACTGTCGAGGCTGCTGGGCGGTGGGGTGGCAGGGGGTGCAGATGGCAGCTCCTTCCTTTGACTCTTCTTGCCCTGCTTTTCCCTCTCATCACCTTGCTCCTGTCTTCTCTTCTCTCTCCGCATTTACCCTACAGTCTCTTCATGCCCGTCCAGTGGCCACGCTGGGCACGGTTTAGACACTCAGGGTATCACGTTGTAGATTTCACCCTCAGCAGGACTCTGCTGGAAGGCGAGTGAAGACCCTGACGCCAAAGGCAGACAGAGATGGACAGGCAGGATTTGGGCGCAGCTTCGGCAGCTGTTTTGACCCTGAAATATCCCCACTACTGCACATGCCTGAATTCGCACCATGAGTACTCTTTGTGCTAAGCCACTGAATCTCAATTTTGGAAGGGAAGGCATATTGGCTTGGGAGCAGGGGCCTGGGTAGTCTGCAAAGGCATTACAACAATATTAAATTGCCACTTTCTATTTGGAAAACAGAAACAAAATTATTGCTTTAGTAATATAAAACCTAAGAGAGCTCCTTCTAACTGAGAGGAAGGTGAGGTGTGAGGGTGGGCAGAGGCGTGAAACTTATATTTTTAAAAGGGGGACATAGATAAAGAACATCGAGCTGCAGCATCTGGATCCAGGACTGGAATTTCTGCAATTACATATCTCTGCCACAAGGAGGAGTGAGCACTGGACTCAGAGTCATCCAATGCACATTCTTTCTTCCTTGAGGGCACCTAATCCATCTTTAAGAATTAGGGAAGCTTCCCAGAGGAAGAAATTTCTAAAGGAGCCCTTAAAGCTAGCCAGAGGTTAAAGGGAGGGGGGCAAAAGGACAAGGAGGAAAGGTTTTCTTGGCAAAAGGAACAGATTGCAAAGAAATGGAAGTGTCCACTGTAAAGGGAGAGCATGTCAAGGGGTTCAAAGAGGCTGAATTCTGGTAGAGGGTGAGGGAGGTGCTGAAAGACTAGGCTGGAGAGACAACCAAGAGTCAAATCACAAGGGCCTTCTTGGACAGCTTTGCTGTGTGACTTTGGGCAAGTTGCTCCCTGTCTCTGGGCGCCAGTTGTCCCATCTAACAAATATGGTGATCTCTTGGGATCTTGGAGCTTGAGGTCGCTGCTGCTATACTCTTCATGGGCTCTAGGGATCAGGACTCACAGTAGGGCAGTGGTGCAAGGTCCAGCGTGTGGAACTGTGCCTGGGCCAAGCAGGGAAAGGCATGGACCTGGGAGGGCTGGGAAGTGGCTGTAGCATGCCTAAAGGATGGGGAAGCTTGGCTAACAAGCCTCCATCCCACATATTTCCCAGGTAAGAAATAGGGACCACACAGATGTGGAAACATCAGACTCCTGGCTGGGGATAGGCCTAGGATCCAGAGAAAGATTTGACAGATCTGAGACATAGATCTGGACCCCATGTCAGGTGCTGCTCCAGCCAACAGGAGCTGTGGGGCAGCTTCCTGAGTAGTCCAGGCTGTCTGGGAGACAGAGGGCCACCCTCCTGAGAGAGGTGTGAGCATGCAACCCAGCACCCCACTGCCAACCCATCTCCCGGCTGGGCCCTCCGTCCTGCCCCCACGCACCTCCATAGCCCTCATACACGCTGATGTCGAAGTAGCTCCCAAAGGCGGAGGCACTGACGATGCTGTAGGTGATCTGGTTGTTGGGAGGGGAGTCTTCATCTGTTGCCTGAAAGGAAGATGGCAGACAGGGCTCCATGAGCCCTCGGTGGCTGATGGCCAGAAGAGGATGAGTGGGAGGGCGGGCTGGCCCCTCTCAGAGCCCCCTTTTTGGGTGATCCAGATTCTCCTGGTCTCTCAGATGAAGGCTACTGTTCCCAGCAGACACACCTCATGTTGGGGTGCAGAGCTACCCTGGGGAATCTAGAGGGCAGGTTGGAGGCCTAGGGAGAATAAGGGAAGGCAGGGCCTTACTCAGGGGATGGAGAGGGTCTCTACCATACCCGGCATGACCATCTCCTAGCCCATCTAGTCCAAGCTCACACATCCCACCCACAGGGGCCTGAACTCTAGATCTGGTTAGGGCCTTGTGCTGTGTACCCCATCAGCCCCCACCATGCCTGATTGTAACTTCTCGTTTAAATTCTGCCTATTTTGCTCCGACTGTCAGCTACATGCAAAGAACAGAAACCTGTTTCTGATTGTGCTGTGTACCTAGAGTCCAGTAGGGTGTTTGGCACATGATAGGTAATAAATACATGAATACATTCATGAATGCAAGGTGAGTGGGAAGCAGGCACTTGGAATGGGGTCAAGTCCTTCTTCACCTGCCTGTCTTCTGGGGTGGTTGCATTAAATAACTTCTTTCCAGGAGTTGCTGATACTTGAGCGCCTCAGGGGTGGCCCACCACTCCTGGTGTAACAGGAGCTGAGTGGGTAGGGAGGGGAGGATGGGCTGGGTTCTATGGGGAGCCATGGCCGTGTTGGGTGGGCACATGGTGCTGCCTTCTTGTGTCCCTCTTGCCCACCTCCTCTACCTTGCTTACATTCCTGTCTCCTTCAGAAATAAGTTCTAAATGGAGTCTTCAGGGTCCTGTCACTCCGAGTGGGCAGAGTGAGGAAAGAGCACAAGGCCACTGAGGAGTCTCATGGTCAGAGGTCAGTGAAACATGGTGGGGACTCATTGCAGGAGGACACTTGGAGTGTAGAGTCCCAAGTTCTAGGTCTGTCTCTACTACTCTGCTAATTCGCTATGCCTTCTGGGGCCTGCCTCTCCCTATTTCCCCTCTTGTTGGGTTGTTCCTGTGGTCTCTGGTTCCTGCCAGCTATAGCAGTCCCTGATTCTAAGCAGCCACTGAAGGGCTTGGATGGGGGTCCCTACACAAAGAACTGCTCGGCACTCACCAAG